TCAGTAGGAATGTTGTCATGGTTATCTTTTTTCCCCTTTTTTAAACTAGCAAAAGAGGGAAAAATCCTGACCATTTTCTTCTCCTGAGCTTCTCTATAGGGCTACTTCCAGTCATTGTTCTTTTGCATTGAGAGGTTGCTAGAGTTTGAAGACGCTTGTCCTACCTGTAGCTGATGAAGCAGAGTCCATATGTATATATAATTATGTATACATATTTTATTTATTTGTTTGTTTAAGGGTTTATGAGAGAATGGTTTGACGAGGATGAAGATTGGTTTTTATTAAAAATTAGAATGAACAATTAAGAAGATGTGGTAAGTTGGACAATCAAGATCCCAAAATCAACATACAAATTCCTTCAAACAACATTCTCAATATCAAAGAAATAAAAAAAATCTCAGATGTGATTATTTGATAAGCTTTCGCCATCAAACAAGCAATCACTTGTTCATATTATTCGGAAACCATTAAAGATAAATCCACCTTTAAAAATCTAGTTTGGATTAATCATATTATTCCTTGTTCAAATTTATAGATGATCACTCCTAAAATTCAGGAGTTGCAGAGACTCTTATCTTGTGGGGGACAATTTTGAGATTTTACGTTAGTGTCGCAAGGGTATCCTTTACCCGGGAAAATAAAACTTGACGTGGGTCCCACATGAATTTAAAATTCGAACACAGATAAATTGGTCAATGGGATTGCAAACTTTCCCCCTCCACTTTACGAAAAAGAAACATGGCCTAAATGAAAGATTGAAAAGTCATTTAGAGTAAAATTTAGGCTCCGGTCCCTATATAAGAGTTCTTAGCTAGCTTTGCATTCATGAAGACAATGAAATATAAAATCCAAGGAAGGAGCTCATTAAAATTCCAAAATTGCCTCCAAGTGACATTGTTAAACTCCATGTGTAAGTAAGAATTTTATGGCCAGAAGAACATGTAAAATTTCCACGTGGCGTTAAGGTCCAACACAACCTATCTGGGTTGGAATGGGGAAGAGAAGGCAACTCAGTTTGTAGGATACGGGTTGCAACATCTACATCAAACATGGAGTGAATACATTCAGAATTCCAATTTCCATTGGCATGGTTGATTAGCACTACAACCTTTAGAGAATGTTAGTTAGGATCATGGGGGAGAGTACATAGATATTAACTAACGTGTCGTCCGTCTGCAATAAGTCATCTTGAGCCCCTTAACAAGTCATCATCTCTAATCTTCAACATGTTGCACCAAATGGCATAGTCAAAAGCTTTCTTTAAAGTGTCCCAAAATGAGTTTTGAGATCTTAGGTATTTTTGATACAAATGTTGGGCCCATAGGCAATTCTATTCCTTTAGAATCTACAAGAAAGTCCCATGAGAAATGCTTTATTTTTAATGGTAACATCTTGAATCCCTAACCCACCAAGATCCTTGTTGCGCATGAATTTGTGCCATGCTTATAGGTAAATGTGATTCTGTCCTTATTGAAACCCCACCATAAGTCTTTAGCTATTACTTAATTTTTGCATTGATTGATTGTGGGGTTGACTAAGTGGCTATAAAATAAGAGGGAATGGTTGTGAGTAGGGGTGGATTCGATCTAGTCGAGCCAAGCCGAATATTACGAGGCTTGAGCTCGGCTTGCCAAGGTAAGATAAGGCTTGAGTTTGAGTTCGGTTGAACTTGAATCTTGAGCTCGAGCTCAATTTGAGAAAAATGTTTTATAAAAATAAAAAGTTATATATAAAAAATATTTTTTATTGATATTTAAAAAATTAAGAATTATAATAATTTTATTAAATATATATTATTTTCTATAATTTTATTATACAAATACGCACACACACACACACACACATATATATATATATATATATATTCAAGCCTCACAAGCCGAGTTCTATTAGGCTCAAAGCTCGGTTGAAACCAAGCCAAACCAATCTTGAATAGCTCGTGAAAGAGTGGACTTGATAAGCACCTCTCTTTCCACACGGGATAAGCAAGTAGACTTCTAGGTTTTTAGCTTATTTTTACACTTGTCCACAAGAAGTTGCCAAGTAGAGGGTTTACCATGGTTCAACAATAGTAGGGCACACAAGTAAATCTCTCTCCCATTCATAATCTTGACACCCAAGATATCAGTCAGCTTCAACCTCTCCCTCCGAATGGTGTTATTGATGAAGTGGATGGAAGATTTTGAGAGATTAATTTCCTAGCTCAAACATAATCCAAGGAAAAATAATGCATTCTTTACCATGAGTACTTCCTACTCTGAACTTTTGCCAAAAACCAAGATGTCATCAGCAAACACCAAATGGTTGATATATTCTGAGGCAATTATGAGCTAATTTGAAGCCATAGATAGAGTTAGTGTCCATCTTGTAAATCAGTAATCTAGACGGTAGATCCAAATAAATAGAGCATCCTTGCCTCAATCCTCTTTCTAGTTTGAAAGTGTTTCCTAGCTCACCATTCAACAATATCAAATAAGCCATTGAGATATAAGCTTTAATAAGAGAACAAAATTGGGTGAATTGAAGAAGCCTCTAAATTGCAAATAATTCCATAGAAGGAAAGCCATTCAATCTTATCATATGCCTTAGAAAGTTTTAACTTCAACATAAAACTACCCTTCTTCCCTTTTTGTTTCCTCATATATAGTGTGCACAATCTTTATGGCTATCACCCTGTAGTCCTGAGTCATAACATCCAGGG